GCTCCGTCGGGGATCGCGGGCCCCAGCGCTTGCGCAACCGTCTGCTAGCCAGCGCCGAGGAACAACGAGTGTCATAGATTTCGGAGCTCCGCGCGGACTCCCTGGATCGGCGCCGAGCCCCCCTGACGGCGCCTCCGGCGCCGCCCATGCGCCAGGGAGAGGGTGTCCAGCGCCGATCCCAGAAATCTGCGCGGATCTCCGAGTTGTAATGCTTATGTCCTCGCTTAGATCCAGGCGTATTGCTCTTGTCTATGTCCTTGTTCACGTCCTTGCTATGCTCATGGCCTCGTGATGTTGATGCCCTTGTTTATGCTCTTGTTGTGCTCATGCCTTCGCCGAGAGGAAGGGCGCCCAGGCATGTTGACGCCTCCCTCTGCCGTGGCCTTGGCGCCTCGCGCCCCCGAAACATCTGCGGGTCCGCAGGCGGGCTCCCGGCTCCCAACTTGCAGGGTTCGGGCACGCGTCTCGGCTTCTGCCGCCGGATCTCGGCAGGCGCGAGCAGCGGCACCTCCGAGCTGTGCCCGTGGGCGCCGCTGCGCAGGTCAGTCTCAAGTCGGGCCTGGCCCTCTGCAGGAGGCATGTTCAGAAGCAATAACACAGTACTCTGGGGACGATCTGTTGTGACCGTGTTTGACCATCTCGGGGCATTTGTTGGGTTACTATCTTTCATCTGTCGTTCAAGATCCGCCTGCAGTGGGACACGCCCGACCCAAAACCACAGTAGTAAATGAGGGACCTGTATTTTTGGGTTGCGGTCAGCTGCATGTTAGAGACTCGACTGGCCCGTGGCCGATGGTGTGGCTGGCGACAGGAATGTGTCTCCCTGCCCGACAGCTTGGGTTCGTCCGATTTTCCTGCGTGTCCAGGCCGCTAGGCCCAAATGTCCCTGTGATCCTCGGGTGTCCCGCCTTGCGTCTTTGACGAATGACGACAACAAGGACAGTGTACCGCGGCCGCCAGGCCTCGGGTATATTCGTGATCCTTGTGTCTCTTGCCGCGGCCCCCGCCGAATGGCCAGACAGATATCAGACACCAAGAAACGACCCGCCCACATCGAGAACACACACATATAAACCACGCTTGAGCAGCGGCCGTCGACCAGATGCTCGTAACATATCGTAGCAGTCGTACACAGTATGCATACTTGTAGATGTGTAGTTATGCCGATTTTAATATGGCCTAGAAAGACACACATACATATGTGTGTATACATACATATATATATGGCATGACATACGTACATGCGTGCACACATAGACACATTCCTCTTCCTATATTTTAGTAAGCCCGAGCGGGGGGAACACCCCGCACCACCCCCCGCCCCCCAAATCGGACTCCCGAGATCTGAGGCTTTGGGACCCTCCAGACGGGCCTCGAAGCGGCCCCCCGGGCCTCGCAGGGCGCTTTGCCAAGCCTTCCCATCACACCTAGGGCGATCAGTGGGGTCATCGAAGACGTCCCAGAGACCCCCAAGACAGCACAAGAGCGCTCCAAGAGTGACCGACGTGACCTCAAGATGGCCCAAGAGGCCTCCAGGACGGCCCCAAAGAGGCCTCCAAGAGCACTCCCAAGAAGGCCCCAAGAGGCAAACATCATTGATTTTCTGTAGGGTTTTTGGTAAATTTTGGGGTTCTCCTCTTTTCGGCTTCCCGACGCTCCAAGACGGCGGTCTTCTGGGCGTCCGAAGCCGCTTGGGAGGCTCCAAAATCGCCCCACAACCATCCGAAAGGGCCTCCAGGCAGTCCAAGAGAGCCCAAAAACGGCACAACACGGGTCCAAGATGGCCCTCAGAGAGCCCCATGGCGGCCCAAGATGGCCCCAAGACACCTTCCGAAGCATTCCAAATCGTGACCCGGTCGTTCAGGGAGACCGCGGTTGGAGGCAGGGTGGCCCGATGAAGCCCCCAGAGGCCCGCAGAATACGCCCAGGAGGCCTCCAGAAGGCCTTAAGAAAGCCTGAAACAATTTTTGTGAGGCCCCCAGAGGCTCTCCAAGGAGGAGCCTCCGCAAAAAAGAGCTGAGGAGGATGAGGAGAATGCGCAGGGTATGGCGAACATAAGGAAAAAGAAGCATGGAGGAAGGATAACGAATAACATCATTATAGCGGCGATGCCAGAAAAGGCAACAAGGAGTCATCGCTAAATTGTCGGCTTGATCTTCCTGCTAGTCCGCCTGCATACCAAATATCAAGGACCAGGGTGCATGGCGCGAAGCGCCACTGTAGTCTTGTGTATATATATATATATATACACATGTTCCTCTTCATATCTTTTTGTAAGCCCGGGGTGCGGGAACAAATCCCTTTCCCCCAAAAAAACAGACTCCATGGGGTCAGGGGCTTTGTGGCCCCCTGGACGCATCTGGAAGAGGTCCCCGAGCTCTGCCGCGCCTCCCAGGCCCCCTTGCCGGGCCCTGCCCAGCCGACCCAAAGCGATCAGAGAAGTGGTCGAAGAGGCGCAGGAGAGCCCCAAGGCAGCGCAAGACGGCTTCAAGATGGCCCAAGAGCCCCCCAAGACGGCCCAAGAGGCCCCCGAGACGCCTTCAGAGGCCTCCATGAGGGCCCTCCAGAGGCAAACATCTTCCCATTCCCTGGGGAAAACGTGCATTGTCAGCATATTCGTTTTCTGTGTCGTAGCAGCGTTCACGACGGCCCAAGAGGCCTCCGAGATTGCCCCTAGACGGCCCAAGAGGCCCCCAAGAGGGCTTCAAGACAGTCAGAGCGGGCTCCAAGACTGCCCCAAGACGGTCCAAATGAAACTCACAAGGCCCCCGAAGGCTCCCAAGAGAGACCCATGAGGGTCACGGGACGTCCCCAGGAGGGCTCAAGATGACCCCAACAAGGCCAGTAGAGGGCCCAAATGCCCCAAGAAGGTCCCAGCACGGCCCAAGAGGGACCCAAGTCGGCCCAAACGGGCTTCAAAAGGACCCCCAAAACGGCCCAGAGTGGCGCCCAGGAGGCCTCCAGAGGTCCCCAAAAACCTTGAGAGGCATTCGTGAGGCCCGAAAGAGGTTCTCCAACGAGGAGCCTCCGCAAAAGACGTGCCCGCCTATACTGCATCGTGGGCGCTCGTGAGCCCCACGCCATATAGCTTACACCAGTCTTTTCTCTTCGCATAGCTTCCACAACGCTGTTCTCAACAAGTTGTTAATACCATCTGCCCTGCACCGTATAGCATCCTGTAGGTACCACTACATCACCCGCATACTATAGTTTACACAGCATAATTATCACCACATAGCTAACACCGAAGAGCTTTCAGCGCATAACTTACATCACATGGTTGCCACAACATCGCTCACATCACATAGTTTAAGCCCCAGAACTTTCACCACTGGAGTTGAACACCTCGCTATCGGGGTCTGCGATGGCTCATACATTTGTCGGTTTTCTGCCGTTGGGAGCCGCTGGAAGCCGCCAGGCTTCTTGGAATGTCTGCAATATTCCGAGGTTTGGTTTTAACGTCGGCCTCCAGAAGCCGCTGCAACCCAGAGGGCCTGAAAAACAGATCCTGGAATGGAGAAAACGACCCCCAAGAAACACTTGCTCCTCATAGCGGTAGGTTAACGTCGTGTCGACACGGTGGCGACACCGGCGCGGGCGCTCTTAATGAACGCGGCCAGTGGTGAGGATTCGGGTGGTGTTGAGCGGCAATGCGCGATCGTTCCTGGCTGAACGATCTAACTGGGGTCAAACATCGACGCGCAGGATTGTACGACATTTGCCGGCGCAGGATCCAGCGAAGAGGGTGCGCAACAGTTTGTCGGAGTTTCCGGGTGGCGTTCTCGTCGCCACGTCGTCGGATTTACCTCGAAATTCGAGTCACAACTCACATCAGCTCACCACAAGAACATTTCGGGTGGCGCACGGACATGTAAATCGAGGGCGAGAGCACATAAGGAACGGGTAAGGGGGCTCGAAAGGAGACGGCCAAATTTCAAAGGCCAAAGAGGATGACGCCAACTGCCAACAGATGCGAAGCTTGCAGGACCGAGGTGCGTGGCGCGAAGCAACAATGAAGTCTTGTACAGAGAGGGAGAGAGAGACAGAGACAGAGAGAGAGAGAAAAAAAAGAAAAATGAAGAGAGAGAGAGAGAGAGAGAGAAAGAAATAAAGAAAGAGAGAGAGAGAGAGGAAAGAGAGACATCTCAGCACCCCCCCTACTCCCCGCACCCCCCCCACCCTCCAAGCCCCAAGAGGCCCCCAAGAGGCTCCAGGAGGCCCCGGGGCCCCTCAGAGGCCCCCAAGAGGCTCCCAGGAAGCCTCCAGGAACAGGGAAACCAAAGAGGGCCAAGAGGCCTCCTCTTCTTTCTCCTTCTTCTCTTCCCTCTCCTCCTCCTCCTTCTCCTCCTCCTCCTCCTCCTCCTCCTCCTGCTCCTCTGCTGCAGCTCTTGCTACGGATCCCAGCACAGAACTACAGTACAGTTCCCAGTACAGCTCAGAATACAGCTCCTAATGTAATCCATGATGCAGCCAGTAATATCAACTGGCCTTCAGCCCATCCCGCCACCGTGACTGGGTTGTGGGTCAGAGTTTTCTGGGATGCTTCTTCGTGTCGCTTCGGAGCGCTCTCGGGGGCATCTCGGGAGCACTTTTGTGGGGCTTCTTGAGAGGCTCTTAAGAGATTCGTGGGGCCTCTTTGAGCCTCCTGGGGACCCCTCGGGGCCGAGGGCTCGAAATGTCCGTTCCGCTTCCCCATCTGCGCCCCGTTTTTGAAGGCCATGAGTGGGCCTTCTTTGGCGCCTCTTGAGCCGCCTCGGGGCCTTCTTGGGCCGTTTGGGGGCCCTCTTGGCGGCATCTAGGGCCGTCTTGGGGCGATCTTGGGAGCCTCGCGGGCCGCCATGGAGCGTCGGAAAGCTGCAAAGGCGAACACTTCCCAAGTCTGTCAAAAACCAATGGAAAAGCACTGATGTTTGCTTCTTGGGGCCCTCTCAGGAGGCCGCTTGGGACGTTTTGGAGGCTTTGGGAGCCGTCTTGAGGTCATCTTGGACGTCTTGGAGCGA